GTTGGGAGCCCGAACCATTAATTCGGGATGGTCGATACAACAACCCCATGATTGATCGTTATCAAGAAATGTAGTCTTCATATGTTCACGAGAGACGTCAACTTGACTTGATCGAGCACTTGTGGGAGATGAAAGGCAATCACAGTGGATGAAGTCAAGATTAGTGCTTTATTTGGAATTATGCTTTGTTTTTAATTATGCTTTATTTTGTGTGTGGTGTTTTTTGGAATTATGCTTTTTTATTTATTTATTTATTTTTTATATTATGCTTTTAAGTATGGCTTGTTTTGTGTGTTGTTTGCAATAAATTAAGGTTTGTTTTTAATTAATCTTTGTTTTGATGCGCAAATGTTTTTAATAAATAGTCATATTATTTAATGCTTTCTTTATTTAATAAAAAGGAAACAATACAACAAATTAATACATATGGCAAATCTTTCAATACAACCTAATGATTTTGATTATTTAACCAATCCGTATTACTAGGTCCGTCGTCATGGAAAAGTTTTCTTCTCATCACATCCCTTTGTCTTAGCTTCCAATAGGCCTTTGTTTCAGGAGACATATGGCTTGTATCCATGGTCATGATTTTCATCTCTCTATCCTCCATGTCTTTTTCTTGTGCCTGCTGCTGTTGAATTGCAAATGTTTCTTGTCATGCCATGTTCGCTTCTTCTCTTTTCACGTCTCTCTCAGTTCTTAGTGCGGTGTTCTTAGCTATTTGTTCCAAAAATTGTACACATTCATTGTTCGCTCCCTCTCTTGGCCTTTGCCGCCTTTCTCCCAATAGGTCTCAGCGGATGTGGGAGTGGTGACTCCGCTTTCATTAGGGAGTCCAATGGCGAATCGTGGAGCGGCGTCTCATTCAACACAACCTCCAGACCTGTGGAAATAATTTTGAATTTCGAACAATCCTTCACAATTTCCCGACATTCGTGATGCAAGAAACTTTTTTTGCCTTGGCCCATGGCACCGAAGCAAACTTGTGCTTGTATGATCTATTAAAAATAAATAATTGGAAGTGCAAGAAAATAAAAAGATTATGCAAGAAAACATAAACAATTTTGAAATGCAAGAAAAAAATTGATTATGCAAGAAAATATAGACAAATTGGAAATGCAAAAAAAAAAAATAAAGATTATGCAAGAAAAAGAAAAAGAATATGCAATAAAAAATAAGTTACACTAAATTGATTAAAATGGAAATTAGAAATATTTTACCTCATCGGATAGATTTTGACCACTTCGAATGTTCTCCCTTGCTTTTGTCAACGCATTTCTCCATTTCTCTAACTCTCTATTCATAATTTTTCATCTACTAGACAACGCCATTTCGGTCCGAATGGAACCCGATCTTTGACAAAATTCTCCATGAATATTGATCCACATATGAGAGAACTTGATCTCATTGCTCGTGACAGGACAATGACTAATGTTCAACCAAGACTGACACAACGCAATATCTTCTTGAGTTGTCCACACGCCTCCAGCTTTGACAGAAGATGCCATTTGTTTTTTATACAAATGGAAAGTAGTAGAAAAATGTGAGTGGAAAGTAAAAAATATTGGAAGGAGAAGAGTTTGTATGAAGATTTGGTGTGGAAAGTGAATAATGTGAGTGGAAAGTAAAAAATGTTGGAAGGAGAAGAAATTGTATGAAGATTTGGTGTGGAAAGTGAATAAAATTGTTAGGTATCTATAGGAAAAAAAATCCAGAATTTTGTGGTATTTTTTTTTTAAAATTTCAGAATTTTTTCAAATTCTTTTTGCAATTTTTTTAGCCAAAAAAAGAGGACCGTCGGATTTCTGGAAAAAAAAATGATCGGAGCGTCCGAGTTGCGACACGTGGAGTTTTCCCGTTGGATTCTGTCAGGGATGACGTCGAGCTGACGTCATCGAGTCGAAGTCAAATTTTTTTACTGTTGGCGCTTGAAACTCACACGCCAACAGTAAAGAAAATTCAAATTTTGCTTGTTGACGTCAGCGTGACGTCACCACTGACGTTAGGCAAGATCTGCCCTTGGACTTGCCCGGGTTGGTGGGACCCAGGGCTTGCCCGAGCTGCTTCTTCTGCACTGGAGGTTCAAAACCGAGCAAAGGGGCCTCTTGCCCTGGCAAAATACCCTGCGCTGGAGGTGGTCTCACAACATGGGAAAACTGGCCTTATCTTCCTTTATGATATGATTTATCAAATTAGTGTATGGGGCGAACCAAATTGAATGATGCACCTATATACTTGAATCGGCAAGCTAGACATCATAATCACTATTACTCAATCAGATATTACGATTATTCCAATCAAAGGGCATATTCTGTCTTGCAATACTGTGTCCCATAACTTTATCCTTAAGTTCAAGAAGTATCAACCTTACCTAGGAGTACAAAGCTAGTTTACATAGACTAAGATTGAAACATGCGGCTAAGAATTAGAAGCTCGTCACACTTAGTATAAAGATGAAAAGGTCAATCACATTTGGCACCCTTATGGTTTAGGGCCCATAACATGTTGTCTTTTAAAAATTGATAAATAAAAAATGCGTAAAGTTACAAATTGTCAGACCACTGACACTAGTTAATTGTTTTTTTTTTAATGGACACTTGGTAGGCCTATTTTCACTTACATAGATGCTTGATTGCTGTTAGGTCTGCCATTATTCATCTATCTTTAAATCTACAAGGTATGAATTTTTTTTTAAAAAATTTATATTTGTTGACATGAGTTAACTCATGTCCCAACTGAGTGCTACATTAGGAGAAAAAAAAAATAGTTAATTTGACGATTAAGCTAACAAAAGAGTCAATAGTGAAAGAATTCATAACTTAAGAAAATATCAAATTTTTTTTAAAATATAGACCAAACTCATTGAGTTCAAACTAGCTGGACTGGTACATTTAAACCAAGGACCTAGGAGGAGAGTTAGAACAAAAAGTGAAGAAACCCTAGGAGCCACCAACCCCTAATTTGGGGTCGGTGGCTTCCCATCCCCCCTTCTCTTCTCTTCCCTTCCCTTATACTCCTCCCTCTCTTTCTCCTTGCCCTGTTTTCCTCTAGCTCTGATCCAGTCGATTTTCACAGCAAAGCATGTGGTAAAGGGTGGAGGAGAGTTGGAAAGAGAAGCTTCAGATCTAGGGGTTTATTCCTCGTCGGATTTTCTATATTTCCTATGCCTTGGCAGACCATGATGCTCTTTTCTTCTCTTGGGAGATCTGGTTGTCTTTGTTATGGATCTGGATGGCTATGGTTGCGCATCATTTGTAGGGCAAAGTGTTGCTACTCCTTTAGTCGGCGTTGTTGGTTTCTTAGATTTGGTGTAGTTTGTTATTAAAGTCCAAAACCTCAATGAGTTGTTTGGTTTTCTCTTGTAACTCCCAGAAATTTTGTTGATTGTGCTGGGTGGTTGAGTTTCTCTAGGAGAGTTATGCAAGTTAGCTTCCAGGTTTTGCCCTTGATGTAAATGACTTGATCTAGGACAACTTCGATGGTAGATAATGGTTTTTATACAAGTTTTTTTGATTTATTTTCTCAAGATCATTTCAGCTCTATAACTTACTCTGGTAATTAGGGAAGCTTTATCCATGTCCATCGTATGGCTAATCGAAATGACTCTCTACATACTTTTTCAATTAATCTAATAAAATATTATCGTTTGTTTAGTATAAAAAAAATTATAAAAAGAAAAAAGAAAAAAAAAGGAGCTGGATGGAAGGTGTAATTAACCCACTATTAAATGTAAAGAGGAAGAACCGAAGGGCTCTGTAGTCATGAAAGGATTTTTGGAATTTCAAAAATAATCATGATGACAAGGCATTTGGATTCCGTCACCTTCTGTTGTGGTTGACAGAAGGAAAACTGAAAGGCATCAAATGTGTAAGGAAAGGAAAGGATGAGATTGTAAAAATTAATTACTCATTACCTTTTATTTTGTTTTGCTATATCAATTTCCTGGAGAGTACAAAGAATTCAAAAGAAACCCTTCTCGAGTCTTTTATTTTCTAATTAAGGGAAAAGGAAAAAAAGAAAACTTGCTGTCTTAACAAAAAATTGAAAAAGAAAAAGAAAATACCACATAAAACAAAAAGATTTAAACAGAAGATTTGGGCCCCACCTGAATACGGGTCCCCCAATCCAAAATGTACAATGTACTTGGTGAAGAGCCCTAGCTTCTCTACCAGTAAAAAACTAGAACGTACATACGTCCATCACCATTTCTCTGACCAACGAAAGTCTCTCTCTCCTCCTCTCTATCTGGGCCCTCCTCCGTCCATTAAACCTCAGCACAGCGAGAGCAACTGACTATATATAAAACAACCCAGAACTAAACAGTCGTTTGCTGTTTGCTGTTTTGTGTTTTTCTCTCGAGTTTGAAAACAACAATGGCGGCAGACTATGGTGGAGGTGTTCGTGCAATTTCTCTCTCGCAAGGCGGCAGAAACTCCGATGAAGACGACGGCTCCTCCGAGCATAGCCCCCGGAGCGCGAGTGGGGGCATCGTCGTTGTGGGAGGCGGCTCTTCCTCGTCCAAGTCAAAGTTTGTGTCACCGTCAGGTGAGATTATCATGTCGAAGAAGCCGAGAGGCAGGCCGCCGGGTTCGAAGAACAAACCCAAGCCCCCCATAGTCATCACCAAAGACTCCGAGGTCGCCATGAAGCCCGTCGTCCTCGAGATCTCCGCTGGCTCTGACGTCATCGAAGCCATCATCCAGTACGCCCGAAGGCGCCACGTGGGCATCAGCGTCTTGAGCGGTTCGGGGGCGGTCTCCAACGTTACCCTTGTACACCCAGCTGGGCCACACCACCACCCCAGCGCACCCTCTCTGCTGTCTCTTCTTCACGGGCCCTTCAACCTCCTCTCCCTCTCCGGCTCCTTCATGGATGCCGTCCCAGCAGCGGCCACGTGCCCTTCCTCGGCTTCCTCGAAGGTGGCCACGTCAGCTGGGGGCTGTTCTTTGCTGGGTAGCGGGTCGTTTGGGATATGCCTGGCTGGGGCGCAGGGGCAGGTGTTTGGAGGGATTGTCGGAGGGAAGGTGGTGGCGGCGAGCGCTGTGGTGGTTGTGGGTGCCACCTTTGTGAATCCGACGGTACTGAGGCTGCCTCTGCCTGGTGATGATCACGATGATCATGAACATGGTGTTGAGGGTGGGGCTCCTGCTGCTGAGTATGAAGCTCAGGAGACGAAGCCTTGCGTTAATGTTGAGAGTCATTGTAGTGCTTACGGCGGCGGCGGGGGCGTTGCGAGCTCGACGCCTATGAATTGCCAGATCACAAGTGTTCCCGATCAAGTCATGCCTTGGGGTCCTCCCTCTCGCCCTCCTTACTAATTACTAGTTATAAGAATATTATTTATTAATATTAATTTGGCTTTGGGGATGAAGCAACAAAATTATATTAATTGCAGCTACCATTTTCTCTTGCTTTTTCATTCATCTGATCCTGTTTTAACCAACGTAGCTTAATTAAGCTAAGCTGTATGATTAATTATTAATCTCTGTTTTAATAGTGGTGGTGGATCTGGTCCTGGTCCTGTGCCTGGCAAGCTAAGCTAAGCGAAGCTACTGGTGCTGTTCGTACTGTTTGTGCAGCCACTGAATGTTATGTCAGGCCCTCTCCTCGGGAAGGGCCTATTTTACCTTCTCCAATGAACAAAGCATCATTGCAGAATAGACACCACATACACTGTTACGCACACACAACTTTGTTTTTTTCTTTTCTTTTCCTTTTCGCTCAACTTCACACACACACACACATCTTCAAACTAAAGACTTAGACTCTGGTTGTGTTTCAAATCGACATTTTCTTTACATTATTTTGTCAACTGGTGGTCAGCTAAACTAAAACCCAAAAACAGAGAGAGAGAGAGAGAGAGAGAGAGAGAGAGAGAGAGAGATGAATTGGTTACTAGGCGCCCCTGAGCTAAAGAATGTTCCTCCTATTTAGAATCACTTTTTAGATTTTCACTTTTTTTCATTCCAGTCTTGTTACCTTCTGGTCCAGTCTAAGTCTACAAGTACCTTAGCTGTATTTGCCATTTCCAGACTGCTTTTGCTTTGTAAAAATTCTTAACTTGTCATCCACGGGGCACAAGTGGATGTAAAAGGAGGGTAAAAGAATGCCTCAACTTTTTGAGGTATGCCTCAACTTGTTATTGATGGGAGATGCTACAATGAGAGGGGATTTGGGTGAGGGTGTTGAATGAGGGGTTTAATCCAACCATCCAATTATTAAAATAGTTTTTCCTATGTTTTGGTCGAGAAATCGTTAAAGAAAATTTAAGTCCAATATTTTCTCAGTCTTATTGATAACACCTGTCAGAAGGGAAAACTAGGATAAAAAATAATAATAAGATAAAAGTGTAGCACAACACATCCTCATTCAGCAAAAGCTTTTTCCCATTGCACTTTGGACCAATACATCAAGAACTTTTTAATTTAGTGTCGGCATCTTAATAATTTATGTAATTTTCCATTTGCGCTCGTGTTTGTATTATTATTTGCTTCTCCAACTAATAAATATGTAAAACAATGCATTATGGAAGCACGGTTGAGAAAAAAAAAAGGGAGATTCACTATTATACTCAATATAGGGGCCCAAATTATAAAAATACCTCATATGAAATGGACTTTAGAAACACACCCTAAGTCCATTTACATTATAACAAATAGGCTTTTAACTTCTTATAAATTACAAAACTGCCATTAATTACTTAAAACAAGCCCCAACTCCAAAATCTTATAAAAATACCCAAAACACTCAATAGGGCATCAAAGTAATTTAATAATTAATATTAAATCCAATAAGGCCAGTTGTCATTTTTTGGGTTTGTTTATAGAAATTCAATGGTGCAGGGTTTATTTATAATATTAGTGCTAAGAATGGGTATATCACTAAATATCTCAACAAAAAAAAAAAACAAAAAAAACCCTTTCAGTTCGTTTTGCAGGCAATACAAAGTTTTCTTCAATATCCCTAGAGTTCTTAGGTTCGTAGTTCTATGTTAAGTCTATCACGTAGCCAAGCAAGGTAGCCTATTCCTAGCTCTTAGCAAATTTCAAGCCTCTATAGTCCAAAAGCAAGGTTTCACATCCAAAACAAATGAAACACTGACTTAGCATATTAAGCATGGATAATCCAGGTCCTTGTATTATATTTGAACACCTTGAATCTCTCTTCATAAAATGGTAAGATCGGTCTCTGAATCCACAGGTCTGAGTTCGAGCTGCCATATAGCCAATTGTTGAAGTCGTCGTGCTCCATTCCAGCGTGTACCATAACTTACATCACGTTCATGAAGAGACACCTAGGTTGGAAAAATTTGGTATCATAGCCTAAATTATTGTGAGAACCTTTTATTAAAAAAAACTATATATATTATTATTTTAAAGAAATATTCATACTACATATTAATTATTTATTAATATGGCTTTTTCTTATTTAATATTTATTGTGAAAACCTATATGTTATTAAATCTTAAGCCTAGTATGAGATTATTCCTTTAGGTGATAGATGACACCATTCTTGTTTTCCACGTATAGAGACTTGGAATTGGTCTTAATCAAATCATCATTGCCTTGCCACCTTGCATGCTAGTAAAAAGTGGTGTTGTGGTATCATTGGTGGAAATGAATGAGTCACATTTTCTCTTCTAAGAGCAAGTCCAACCATGCAGCCCAGCCCGAGGGGAGGGGGGAAAAAGCCAAAAAAATGGTTCCAGCGGCGAAGCCCAGGCCCGGGGGGGGGCGGGAGC